TCATCATAACCACATGGGTCAGGCCCCAATGGGCCAATCAGTGGCCGCCGTGCCGAGTGGACCCAGTTGGACTCCACCCCCCCCCCCACTAAGCGAATAAAAAAAATTTAAAAAATTATATGTATATTTATGTGTATTCTTTCTACTCCGTTATGAAATACATATGTTCATTCTGTAATTCCATATATTAAAGTTCCTTTTGAAAATTGAGTAGTCGCTCAGACATTTAAGAAATTCCCGGCCTTTATGTTACCCAAGGTTCATTACTCTGTTTACAAGAGCCCACAGTTCGATCATATCCTGCGCTAGATGAATCCGCTCCACACATATTCACTTTTGTCTATATCATCGTGTGTCTAAAAGGAATACTTTATTCCGTTAATTTCCAAGAAGTAGCCATCAGATCTAATCTGTTTAAAATTAGAATAGTGGGTCTCATGTTTGTATTTTAACCTACACCACTAGACATGGACACTGAATCTACTCCAGAATTCCCAAAATCTCAAAATGAATTTAGTCATATTTTACTTAAGCCTATTAACTGGCCGATTCATGTTTAATGTCGATCCACAAAAAAAGCAAAAAAGTTAAGCTCTTTCTGTACCAGGCCGTGATGGCACATAGGGTTTTGAGAAGTTGAGGGTCCCACATTATCTAGACAATCGGCTGAAAGATGGCGGTAAGGTTGGCAGCCTTACGCGCCGGCCGCGCTTTACTCCCCAGGAAAATTATTGAATTAATTCCTGGTACCCATTTCTGTTAGAGGCTGAGTCGACCCCAGGGCCATAGCGCGACCGGAAGGATTAGGTCAATTGAAAAAAATCCAATGACCTCGTTGGGACTTGAACTCGCAACATTCCGGTTTGTGGCTACTAACTACGCTACGTCGATCCATATCTAGAGATATTTTATAGTATATCAGTATCACAAATAATGAATTGACAAGGATTTGGAAGGAAGCTCTCTTGGCCTACATTCTACTGGGAAGACTAAAGAAATGAAACACGGTTCAGGGTAGTCGGTAACTCAATGCGGTTATAATTCTAGAAGCCTAGACGTAATTTGTTTGTTAATGTTACAATTCGCCATAATGGAATATGACGCGAACATGTGTACTTGATTAAAGTGATGTAGATTAGCGCCAAACGAGAAGCTTTTATGAATACGTTAATGGCCCGCGAGTCCCATAAAGAACAATATTTGGGTCACCTGAGAAACTACGAAACTTTCAAGAAGGGCTGTGATTCATGGAGTTACATAATAAAAGTCCATTCATTTCGGTTCAAAATACAGCAAGTTATTCCCAGTTGGTGTAAAACCGGGTTCTGAGATTCTGCAAGCACTTTCTGTCGCCCCATTCTTCCCTTCCATGGATCATCACGAAAGAGAGAAACCTAACAGTTTAATATTTACTGGAAGCTCGGCGTGTTTACCGGCGCTCTTGATTGAAGTTTTCGTGACTTCATGAGTCACTTCATGTCAATGTTGCGATTCCTTCTTACAATCGATCACGACTCTCTTGTTCCATTCGGCTCCGAGCGGGATCAGAGGTTGTTCTTTCCTTCACTATATTCAAATCAAATTTGGGAACAGCCGTAAGCTCTTTCCGCGGG